AGTACACCTGGACTATAGAAAGTACATCTGGACTATAGAAAGTACATATGGACCAGAGAAAGTACATATGGACCATAGAAAGTACACCTGGACCATAGAAAGTACACCTGGACCATAGAAAGTACACCTGGACCTGTCATTCTGTGTCTGTTTCTACTTCTTGTCCTCTCAGACCTAGCCGGTCAAAGCAGATGGCCGCTTGTCCTGAGCCTGGTTCTGCTGGAGGTTTCTTCCTGTTAGAGGGAGTTTTTTCTTTCCACTCTCTCCTTTGTTCTTGCTCATGATGGGAGACTGTGATGAAGTGAATATTCAACACAATCTGCTGTTTCTTTAGAGAGAGAACTTTACTAATTGTATTTTGTAACGTGTGGGAATGTGTCTGTTCATTGCTCTGAGAACATCTGTTGAGACTTGGAGCTATAGAATTAAACTGAATTGAGTTTAGGGCCCTGATCTCGTGTTTTGTGTTTTTCTGTTCCAGGTGACTCCAGATCAGTGGAAGATGATGGAGGTGATGATTAAAAGCACTAAAGGTTCCTAATAACACTGTCAGACTGACCACAGCAGCCAGTCACCTTGCTGTGTGAAGAGGCCCTGCCCCCTTCTGATGTGTAACAATGAGACCGCTCATTTGTCCACTTTCAATTAACAGATGATTGACTGAGTCAGACTGTCATGTGACTGTTTGCAAATGCTCAGTGTGAGCAAAGACTTTTCATAATAAAAGAGTGAATTTTAAGTTCTTGAGAACTTTTTTTTTCTTTCAGCTGTTCCCTCTTCAGGGTCTCCACAGTGAGTCCTCCTCCACCCTACTCTGTCCTCTTGTGTCCTTTGTCCTCACTCCAACTACCTCCATTTCCTCTCTAACTGCAGCATATATCTTCTGATTGTCTTTGGTAGAGGAAAATGCTTTAAAAGCTGTTTACCCAAATGAACCACTCACTCACGGCAGGTGAAGATTTATCTCTGGCACAATTTTACTTGCAAGAACAAATACTGTAACAGTTCACATCAATATGCATTAAGTGTATACGCATGAAGCCCAGTCACAAAGATCTGCAAAGTGCTGCATTCTTGCTTTCTATATCTCTACCAGCTTGACAAGGTTTCAGTGGGTGTCAGCTGCAGTCTCACATGGCCCTCCTGGCCTTCACCGATACAGACCACGGGCAGGGGGAGGGTGTTTTGGTAGGCAACTTGGTTGTTTGTTTTAAGGGAAAGAACAATATTAATAATAAAATATCCATAAGTCCATAACCTTTGACCAAAATTATCTGACATATGCCCCCCTGTTTATGGAATATTTATTACAAATAACAATATCAACCATGCAAGTTTGGATGCTGTAGCATGTGATGGAAAACCGCAAAGGTAGAAAACAATTCAGTTTATTTCTAAAGCTCCAAATTACAACAAAGTTGTCTCAGGGACTTTACAGAAACATTCACATAAAAGCCAGTTAGTAAAGTTCTCTATCTAAGGAATCCAGCAGACACGTTGAATCTTGGCTTCGTTGAAGTCTCCCATCCTGAGCAAGCACAGTGGAGACAGTGGAAAGAAAAACTCCCTTTAACAGGAAGAAACCTCCAGCAGAACCAGCTCAGGACAAGCAGCCATCTGCTTTGACCGGCTGGTTTGAGAGGACAGGAAGGAGAGGCAGACACAGAATGACAGGTCCAGGTATACTTTCCACTTAAAGTAAATTTCATCTTAGCAGGTGCTTATCAGTAAATGCTGTAACCAAATTTAAAGATTCTTGTCCATCGTTTTCTTCTGTCTTGCAGAGTAATACATCAGAGAGCAGTGACTAAGATGATCTAGTTGATAATTTTACAACTGCTTTGCAAACTTAACTCGATAAAGCTGCTTCGCTGAATAATAAAGTAATCAATCAGAGGAAATTGGTTCTTTGGTTCAATTCTGAGTTACGTACTTTAAAACAGACATCTAGAAAGCTGGAAAGAAAATGGTGCTCCACTAATGTTGAGGAATCTTACTTATCCTACAGAGATAGCCTGCTAACATACAAAAAAGCACTCCCTAAAGCTAGAACTTTATATTATTCATCTTTAATTGGTGAGAATAAAAATAACCCCAGATTCCTTTTCAGTACCATAGCTAGTCTAATGAAAAATACTTTCTCTGTTGATTTATGCATCTCTACAACTGTAAGCAGTGATGACTTCATGAGATTATTTATAAATAAAATTGTTTCAATTAGGGGAAAAAAATCAAACCAACATTCCTACTATCGCCTCTGGTTCTGTGTCAGATGAGACAACTTTAAAAATGTCACTAGAACTTGATTTATGTTTGGACTGTTTTTGTCCTTTTGAGCTCTGAATTGTCAAAAATGATAGCTTCATCCAAAACATCCACATGTCTGCTAGATCCCATCCCAACCAGACTATTTAAAGACGTACTTCCCTGAATTAATAACCACGTCTTGGATCTGCTTAATTTGTCTCTAATTCATTCATACAACCTTTATTTAAACAGATAAATCACATTGAGCCTCGAAGACTCATTTACAAGTGAGACCTTTTTGGAAAGACAAAAACAGTGGTTAACTGGACACTTGTAGGTGTTGGAGGCGAAAAAAAATTCCTATCAGACTTTTTTTTTTCCTACCTGAGGGAAAAAAAATCCTCTAATATAAAAAAAAAAACCACCTCACACAAACAAGCACATAGTGACATAGACATTCTGTGGGGGCGGGGGGGGGGGGGGGGGGGGCTGAGAGCGGTCAGCATGTTGATAGATGCTCTCTCTCGAGGTCACTGTAAGATTTCTGATAAGGATAGAAAATCAGTCAATGTCCTCCGGTGAGTTCCATAAACATTCTCGAGGTATCTAAAAAAGTTAAATCTGGTCCTCTGGACATTCAAAAAAACAAAACAAAGCAAATCAACAAAAAAATGTAGAAACGTTTCGTCTCTCATCCGAGAGACTTCCTCAGTCTGAGGAGCTGTATTCAGCTCAGTCTCTTAAATAGCACCTTCTCAGAGTGGATCAACCAGTTTTGCTGCTGACAACCAAAACCAGCTGATCACATGCTCAAGAAGGACCATCAGCCTAACAATGGATCATTAGCACACTGATGGCTGTTTACTGTTCACAGAGGGCTGAGTGATACCAGCAATCACAGCATT